GCGAGGAAAGTTTTCTAGCACGACACATTTACCCAGACTGCCAAGACTTGCACCTCATCTTATTCTATAACATTTTTACTGCCGTGTCTCTTCAGAATGTTAGCCATTGTTTCTTTGCAGATTTTAGTTCTTTTTTCACGGTTTTAAATTCAGAATTTTCCTTCTTTTAGAAAGTTTTCTCCCCTCCCTCCAAACCCTGTCTATCCCGCCAGTTAACCCATAGCTTGTTAGGAGAGACAAGATGGATTCATGTATTTCCTTGCAGTGGGAGGTTATTTTCGCGAATCTGAACGCAGCATGCCGATCCGAAATTACAACTTCGATTCTCCTTCCCACGCTGATAACTGTTATTCAGCCCTCCCATCAAAATTAATATTAAATCTAAAAAGGTCAATGACCTTACATGTCATCATCAATAATTCATTTTAACCACTAAGGGTTTTTTATTGTCATACTTTTTTTTTTCTTCTGTTACAACCTCCTTCAAAATTACTCGTTTCTTCTTCTTGAGAGCTTCTACAGATTTATTTGTCCTAAATCTGGAAATCCCTTTCTTTTTTTTTTCCAAACTTCGAAAATTATTATGTACTTGCACTTTCCATGTTTTTTCTATATACCGTGCCTCTTCAAGACGTGGCCAAGCATGGCTCTTCATAACATCCTATACTTTGTAGCTCTTAGTAATGTTTGTAATTAGACCATCCATCCAAATCCTCGTTCTGCCACCCGTTCATATAATCTCGTTAGGTAGGTGGTACAATGCCTTCCAAAAGCTAAGCAAGGTATTAAGACACAGGAAAATTTCTTTAGAAACAAAGAAAAGAGTGTTGAACTGCTATGTAATATCAGACCCCCTATATAAAAGTGAATACTTAACAATTTCCTCACTGATGAAATGTAGACTTGAGACAACAGAAAGAATATCATGTGAGTAACAAAAAGCTATTAAGAAAAATAAAAACACAAAAGACATTTGTATATAGAATCAGAAAGAGTTGACATTTCTGTCCCAGAAACAGTAAAAAAAATGTCAGAATAGGGATTTGGTGATCACTATTTACATTATTCGGACTATCATCCTCATCTTTGTTGCCATATTTATCACAAAGTTTCGGCCGTTGTACGCCCCGGCTTTCTTCAGGTGGTTGGAATGTCGAACTGAGCCCTTTATTTCGCTTACTGGGGTAGACTGTTCTAGTTATACGTGCCATGTCTAATAGATGTCAGCTATCCGTTATCTCTTGTTAATTCCCCTCTCCAAGTTCTCCATTGCCTTAACCAGGTATTGAACTCATAACTCTTTGGTTCATGTCACTGGATTTGGTGATATAGCGAAAAGGCAAACTTTACTAAGGACAACAAAGGATACAGAATATTGTATAAAGCTATGATTGCTGACGTCTTAATTGAATACAGGATAGGGAAAAAAGATGTCCTGTGGGTGCCAAGTTTTCCAATCCTTCTTTCCTCATTATGGGTCGCAGAAATTTCAGCTTTCTCTTTCTTCTTCTGAATATCAGTGTCGTTTTTATTTGTTACGTAATATCAGGCCTCCTATATGGCATTGAATGCTGGACAATCTGCTCGCAGATGAAGAAGATATTTGAGGCAACAGAATTGTGGCTATAAAGAAGGATTCTGAGAATAACATGGACTGAATAAGTGAGCAACGACGATGGTTTAAACAAAAATGGAAACCAAACGGACACCTATATTTAACATCGGGAAGAGACAAATGAAATTTCCAAGGCATAATGAGAAAAGAGGGCTTGGAAAATTTGACACTCACAGGCAATTAAAGGCAACGGGAACAAAAAAAAACAACGAATAACATACCTAATGAACTAGTGGAAATGAATGGCAGAACAGTGTGTAGGAGAGATAACAAAATGGCAATATTTACTCGAAGCTACAAAAGACAGAAAAGCGCCATATTCGCCAACGGTGTGAAGGGACAATGTACATAGAAGAACAATTACTTCACACTAGACGACTTAGGACATGCGTACGAATGACTTTTTTTTATGCTAAATTTCTAGGTAACATAATGAAGAGGCCTTAGAAAATTTGGCACTCATATTACATACTAGTGGCAAGAGGGACAGAGGAAAATAGCGAATAACAAACCTTGTGCAAATAGTTGGCAGAATTTGGTATTAAATGCTGGATAATCTCATCACAGATGAAGAAGAGATTTGAGGCAACAGAATTGTGGATGTACAGAAGGATGGCGGGCTGAATAAGTGAGCAACGACGACGGTTTAGACAAAAATAGAAACCAAACGGACACCTATACTTCACACCAGGAAGAGACAGCTGAAATCATCTAAGAAATAATAAGAAAAGAGGGCTTGGAAAATTTGACACTCATAATACATACTGATGACAAAAGAGACAGAGGAAAACAGCGAATAGCATACCTAACGAACTTGTGGAAATGGATGGCAGAACAGGGTTTTAGAGAGATAAAAAGGCAAAATTTACTAGGAGCTACACAAGGACAGAACACAGAGAAGAATAAGTTCTGTGAGTGCCAAATTTTTCTTGTCCTACTTCCTCATTATGTGTCATTTCATTGTCCAGGATTCACTGCCATATTAGAAGATTTATATTACAAAACAGTTCACTGGTCTTTTTTTTTTCTGTTGATTCAAGTATCTTCATTGTCCAGCATTTAATACCATATAGGAGGATTGATATTACATAGCAGTTCAGCCCATTTTTTTGTCTCTATTGATATTCTCCTCTTTATTAATATTATGCTTAGCTTTTGAAATACATCTTTTGGCGTTCAAATGGGTTTGTGAGCAGAGGAAATCTGTTTGGTACTAAATAATACCAGTGTTTTCCGGAACTCCGTCGGTCATTTTGTACAGCGGACATTAGCAATGAATCTGTTGCGGGAAACTTATTTGTTGTTTTCTTTTTTTTTTTTTTTTTTTTATATTGCATTATCCTTTTAGTTGAAGTCTGTATATATGAACATAAATCAACTCAAAAAACTTAAAGAACGTCGTTATGTTCTAAAGAAGCTCAGAAATCACATGCACTCTTGATGATGATCAACGAAAGAGATGGAAAGTACTTGGGAAATAAAATTGATTTTTCACTGTTACAATGTACACACACACACACACACACACACATATATATATATATATATATATATATATATATCTGTGTGTGTGTGTGTGTGTGTGTGTGTGTGTGTGGTAAAAAACTTAAATGCAATGTAACTCATAATCTTCTGTCTTCTTAATTCCTGGTCTGTTATTGATCTCTCTACTTAATTGTGTTTTATTTTGTTTTGTCTTTTTCATATTCTTTCACACTCAGTAACCCTTTACATCTTGTTGGATTTATTAACTTGCTTGGCGTGAAATGATTAAAAACAATATTTGCCAAGCCGGTTCCACATTAAATTACGGAATCGTTATTCAGTGCATAAACTCTTGTTCGATACAAAGTCCTTTTAAAAGAGAGCAGGAAAGGTGACACCGAAATCGGAAGGCGCATTGGAATAGCGAAAGATGCCTTCCAAAGACTAAGCAAAGTATGAAGAAATAGGAAAATTTCGTTCGAAACAAAGAAAAAAGCGCTGAACTGTTACGTAATATCGGTCCTCCTACGCATATGGCAGTGAATGCTGGACAATCACCTGACAGAGACTTGAGCCAACAAAAATATAATTCAACAGAAGGATGCTGAAAATACCATGAACTGAAAAAAAACGACGAATTTTTAAGGAAGTTCTTTTATAATAATCTTCACTCTATACAAGGCCTAAGAGCCACTCGAGGTAGAGGTTTACAGTGTAAGAGTTTTATGAGGATATAACGGTTCACCCTAAACTTGAATGAAGACAAAAAAGAACATATACTCAGGATGGCAGAATTGAAATATCTAGAGTACATAATGAGAAAAGGAGGCTTGGAGAATTTGACATACGCAGGACGTATTCGAAAGCAAGAGGGACAGAGAAAGCAACGAACAAGCTACCTAAGCCGCTTTTGTAAATGGTTAGTAGAACATACTTTGGGAAGCATAACAAAAAAGACAAACCTTAGAGTTAGAAAAGACAGGAAGTTGTGGAGAGGCATGATCTTGTACGTTTTGAATGGACACAGAACACATAGTAAGAAATAGTGTATCCTTTACAAGAACGCGAAACATATTTTCACTGAAAAAGAAAAGAATTTATCCGTAAGTTTTGTTATATGCCATGCGTGGTACACGCTAGGGGATCATGTAGCTTTCGATACGTGACTGACGAGGCAGATTTTTTCCCGCAGTAGGTTGCCATTTCTTTGTGCGGTAGACCAGTTGCCATCCAAGGCTATAGAACCCGGCCTGTCCTGCTATTTACCTATAGCTAGGGAGAAGAACAGGATTCGTACCTTTCCCAAGGGTATTAGCATGTAAATGTATGTAATGGATTTGACTGAAATTCGAGCTCGGCTATTCGATTCCTCAATTCGAGAAGGAATTATTTTGGACACTTCAAAATTTGAGCGATCATGACTCTGCATATATTCCTTTTTTATCTATTAACCGTGAATTGCCATTACTTCATTGCGGAATAGAGAGGATCGGCGACGCGTTGCTTACCTGTTGTTCTACTCCGAGATAAGATGCCATCAAAGCTGGATATAGCCTAATTTTCTCGGCTGTTGGCAAAAGAAATGAATCGTTTATTTTCTTCAGAGTGAAGTGAATGCAACAGACTCGGGCAGAACTTGAAGTAAACTTGATAAGCAATACACTATTTGCAAATGCGCATTCCTATCATGAGCAATTGGTTTGTTTGAAGGACGATATAGAAGACGACGGACCTTTCTCTGTGTAAAGAAGTTGGCCTTTTATTGAGGTGAGTAACGCTTTGTATGGGAAAAAGGAGACACAAAGAATAAATGAAATTTATAAATTAAATAGAAGAAGAAATTGGAAAAAAAGACACACACTGAATGGAGAACTGTAATAAGGGTAGAAGAGAAAAAAAATTAGTAAGAAGAAAAAATGGACGACTGAAATAAGAAGGAAAGAAGGATAGAAACAAACAAGCAAAAGAAACAAACAAACGAAAGAAAGAAAGAAAGAAAGAAAGAAAGAAAGAAAGAACAGGAACGTTTAGAAAGAAAGAAAGAAAGAAAGAAAGAAAGAAAGAAAGAAAGAAAGAAAGAACAGGAACGTTTAGAAAGAAAGAAAGAAAGAAAGAAAGAAAGAAAGAAAGAAAGAAAGAAAGAAAGAACAGGAACGTTTAGAAAGAAAGAAAGAAAGAAAGAAAGAAAGAAAGAAAGAAAGAAAGAACAGGAACGTTTAGAAAGAAAGAAAGAAAGAAAGAAAGAAAGAAAGAAAGAAAGAAAGAAAGAAAGAACAGGAACGTTTAGAAAGAAAGAAAAAAAAAAGAAAGAAAGAAAGAAAGAAAGAAAGAAAGAAAGAAAGAAAGAAAGAAAGAAAACAAAAGAAGGAAAGAAAGAAAGTAAGAAAGTTCTATAGGAGAGAAAGAAAAAGAAAAAGAAAAAGTAATCTTACATGAGATAAAGGACGTTTTATAGAAAAGCAAGAAAAGAAGAAAAGAGAAAGAAAAAGAAAACGTAGTTTTACAAAAAATCTTTTAAAAAGTTTTATAAAAAAGAAAGAAAAGAAAAGAGTTTAATTAAAAAAAAAGAAAGAACCAAAGGAAAAAAAAGCGAAATGTAAGAAACCAAACTAAAAAAAAACGAAGAAATACGTTTTTTATAGATGAAAACTGGAAGAAAAGAAGTGTAATAGAAAGAAAAAAAGAACAAACGAACGAAAGAGAAATAAAAAAAAAAACAAGGACGTTTTATAGAAGAGAACGACAGATAGAAAGAAAAATGGAAGGAAGTTTTACAAAGAAAGAAAGTAAATTTAAACAAAGAAAGAAGTTTTATAAAAACACGGAAACAGAATGAAAAGAAATCTAAAATAGAAGAGAAAGTAAGAAAGAATAGCGTTTTATAGAAAAGGAAAACAGCAAGGAAAGAAGTGTAATAGAAAAGAAAGAAGACCATTTTAGATAGAAAAAGGGGAGAAATTAAATGTTGTTTTATACAAGGGAACGGAAGAAAGAGCAGAAAAGAAACAAAGTTTTATAGAGAACGACAGAATGTCAATTTAAAAAAGAAAGTAAGAAAGAATATCGAGTAAAATAAGAAAAGAAAAGAGCCAACATAACAGTTAGAAGGATTTATCCCCTTCAAGGCTTCCAAAGACGATGTAGGGAGAAAAAAAAATCGTTCCAAATATGGGCAACTGGGGTTGAGCGTGCCAACTTACAACGATAGCTCTGCGCACAGTGTCGGGTGATAGTGTCCACGTTGATGGATTGCCTGGTCGGAGTTCCAAGGAGGTTATGGGTGGGTGTATCCTGAGAGTAGTGCCAGTGGGGGAAACGGTTTTGAATTCATATCCGCCCGGGCCATTAGACTGTCTATCCCGCTCTCGAAGGATGGGACCGGCACGTGCCTAAATGTTGTGCACTTAGAGGAGAAATGTCCTCAGGATGGTTGAGTTTTTGTGCTCGGCTTGTTAAAGTGTGTATCTTGGCTGGACGAGAAGGGGGTTGATGCCCGGGGGATGGACGAGAAGAGGTGCGTTGGAAGGTAAAGAGAAAATAAAATGCAAGAGAAGGGTCGTGTGAGACATCGAAAGAGCTGAACCAGAACAGGAGGGGCCGGGGTGGGGGCATGGAGAAAAAAGCATCGAAAGTAGTGGATGAAGATTGTGCAACGTCGAGTTTTGCGAAAAGGCTGGTTACTTAAAAACGAAAGCAAAAGAAGAAGAAGAAGAAGAAGAAGAAGAAGAAGAAGAAGAAGAAGAAGAAGCTAGGTGTAGGAGGAGGGAAAAAGACAAGTAAAGACAGTACAGATATTTACAGCGAAAGTTGAGGAGAGAAAAGAAGGTAGCAGAACGAAAGGAAGAGGAGAAGGAAGAGAAAGAATTGGAAGGAAATATCTACTGAAGGAAGAGAAAGAATTGGAAGGAAATATCTACTGAAGGAAGAGGAAATAATTCTTTTGAGGTCTCGTCAGAAAAGGTGGAGAAAGAGAAGGTGTAGAAAAATGATAAAAATTGAAGCGGAAAAGAAAAGAAAAGAAAAGATAGCGAGCAAATAATAAAAAACAATAAATGGGAGGAGGAGGAGGAGGAGGAGGAAGAAGAAGAGGAGGAGGGGGACTTTGTTGAAGAAAAAGTACAAATAAAAGAAAGGAGTGATATTTACAGAGAGAGAGAGAGAGAGAGAGAGAAAGAGAGAGAAAGGAAGAGAAAATGAGTAAAAGAGGCGAAAGGGAAAGAGAAAGAATGAGAGATACTGAAGGAAGAGAAAGAGCTCGAGAGTGGGAAAGAATGAGTAGAAATTAAAGAAAAAAGCAAAGAAAAAATTTTAAAGAATTTTGGGGGAAAACTGAAAAAAAGAAGAAACAAAAGAAGAAACATGACGAGGCGAATAAATATATTGAAGAAGCAGGAAATGAATTAGAGAGAAGACTCTAGAAAAAGAAGAGGAGGGAGGAAAAAAAGAAGAGAAAGAAAAAGAAAAGGAGAAAAGAAAAAGAAGAGGAGAAAAGAAAAAGAAGAGGAGAAAGAAAGTAGAAAAAGAGGAGGAGAAGGAAGTAGAAAAAGTAGAGGAGACAGGAAGAGAAAAAAGTACAGGCGAAATGAAAACTAAGAGAAGGGAAAAGAAAAGAAGAGAAAGGAAGTAGAAAGCGAAGAGGAGAAAGGAAAAAGAAGAAAAAGAAAAAGAAGAGGAGAAAAGAAAAAGAAGAGGAGAAAGAAAGTAGAAAAAGAAGAGGAGAAAAAAGTGGAAAAAGAAGAGGAGAAAGGAAGAGAAAAAGAAGAAATGAAAACATAGAGGAGAAGGGAAAAGAAAAGAAGAGGATGGAAGTAGAAAGCGAATAGGAGAAAGGTAAGGGAAAAGAAGAGGAGAAAAAAGTAGAAAAAGACGAGGAGAAAAAAGAAGAAGAAGAAGAAGAAGAAGAAGAAGAAGAAGAAGAAAGGGCGGCAGAATAAGAAAAGGAAAATAAAAAACAACGAATTAAAAAATTATGCTGGAAGATGTACAACAATAACAACAGTAACGACATCGTCAATAACAACAAAGCGAATGTCAATAAATAAATAAAACGTACAACAAAAACGAAGAATTTTCACTATGCTGAACTAAGATTGAAAATTATCTCTGGGATCTGAATATTACTAGCAAGGGCCTGCCAGACGTACTTGCAACCCTCGCTATGCGAAAGTTTGTCAAGGCATCTACGAAATCTCGCTTAATTTGAACCAACCCCTAACAGCAAAAGTTCCAGTATGAATCACACTCAGTATACCAAAAGGGACTACAAAAAAACAAATTTATAACCGCTTTCCTATAGTAGATAATGGAATCATTCATGAAATTCAGCATATTCTGGAATAAACCCTCAGTAGCTAAACTTCTATAAAGGATTGAACTCAAGACCAGTAGCGTACGAGACAATCTTACTGATCTCTCTTAACGTTAACCTACCCTTCAAAAAAATTGCAATTATGAAGAATCAAGGCATAATCGAAGTCATTGTCAATGGCTTTTGACACTAACACTCTTCTACGCTAAGTCCGGCAAAGGGTCATACAATTTGAGCAACTGTCGAGGACATAAATAAAAGACGATTAATGATATTGATAGCGTCGCTAACCTCTTCTTCACTCTCTTGACGCTTTTACTATTAAGACAAACCTGCAAGTGACTTTTGCCTCCTCTTTGTTCTGCTTGCTACTTACATAATCCCACCCCATTGTCAATCTATTAGCAATGGCTTCGCTTTTGCCAAGACTCCCATTAATAACTGAACTGAGGTTTTAATTAATGTCTTTTCTGGTGTCACGCATTCTTGGCTAACGATCGGTGGTGGTGTTTGACTAAGGTCGAAAACATATGCTTCCACTCAGACGCCATCTTTTGATTTCATGAAACATCATTGTTTTTTGTTTGTCTGCTTGTATTTATTTTTTTCTTTTTGAAATGATTTGCTTTAAAATGTAGGTATTAATAAAACGCTTTATATATATTAGCAGTTTTTTTTTTCTTTTCTCCTTTCTTTTTTTCTTTACTTATTGTCATTTATCCTATATTTTATTTTCATACTTTTATTAGACAATACTCTAATTGTACATACTCCTCAGCTGACTTCCGTATTTCGATTCGCTTCCTTCTCCAGAACTACTGTTACTACACGGGAGGGTTTGTTTTGTTTTGTTTTGCTTTACGGCATATCAACCTCCGTGGGTAATTTAATAACGACAAGATTTTTTTTATTGCTGGTACTAATTTTTTCAAAAATGTATTGTTGCTAATATATATATATATACATATATATATTCTAAAAATGTATTGCTGGTAATATTTTTCCTTCAAAAATGTATATTTTCTTCAAAAATTTCTTGCTGGTATTAAAACCTATTTAACTTGTTTAGGGGTCCATACCTTGGACCCCCCTAACAGGTGCTATTTAAAAAAAAATATATTGCTGGTAATAATGTATTATTGGTAAAAAATTTTCCACCAAAATTCATTGCTAGTAATAATTTTTTTTACAAAAGA